AAAAAAAAACAAAAACAGTTAGATTCTAATGCGAATGTAGAAAACTAAAAACAGGAACATGTCTGCATCGGTCCCTGCCAGGAGTCCAACAGATTCTTAAAGCCACTTAGAAAGGTCAAAGGTCGAGAGCTTCAGATGTTTTTACAAGATATTCCAGGAAACAGGAGCGGAGCAGGAGAAGGTCCTTTTGTCTAGTTCAGTCCGCACTGAGGGAACACTGCAGGTAATGATGTCCTGAGAGCGCACGCTGTAGCTGCACTCACACAGAGACATGAAGGAGGAGATGTATGAAGGCAGCAGACCAGGAAGTGATTTAAAGATGGAAATGTACCAGTGGGAGAGTCTGTGTGGAGTTAATGGTGACCAGTTAACCAGTGAATACTGGGTGCAGTGGTGGGTACGGTAGTTACAGCCAGTTATGAATCTTAGTGCACCATGATAGACAGCATCCAACATCTGCAGCATCCAACATCTGCAGCATCCAACATCTGCAGCATCCAACATCTGCAGCATCCAACATCTGCAGCATCCAACATCTGCAGGGTTCTTGTAGGAGCGTTCATGTAAATAATGTCACCTTAATCAATGGAGGGAAGGAAAGTCACAGATACAAGGTGTTCCTAACATTCAGAGTTAGACAGGATCTGTTTCTGAAAAAGAAACCCAGTTTAACTTTCAGTTTCTTTACCAAGTTTTCCACATGGAGCTTAAAAGAGAGATGTGAGTCGACCAAGATACTCAAATATTTATAGGAATCAACAAACTCAATGGGGACACCATTTGAGGATAAATCGAAGGAAGAACTGCTGGGACCAACTTCCTATTTGAAAAAAACATCCCTTTGGTTTTATCTGAGTTTAGGACAAGTTTGAGGTGAAACAAATCAGTCTGGATGTAGTTGAATGCAGATTTCAAAAGCTGGAAAGCCTTAGCAACTGTTTTAGCTCGACAATAAACAACTGTGTCGTCAGCATAGAAATGTATGGATGCATTAGGGATGCTCTGACCTACATTACTTATGTTTATTGTAAAGAGGGTGGGTCCTAAGACTGAGCCTTGTGGTACACCATTGTTGACTGTTAAATAACTGCAGGAAGTACCATTATGTTGAAAACATTGTCTCCAATGGTGTGATCTGAGAAACCGATTTCTGAGAGTTTATGACACAAGATGTTCTGATCCACAGTGTCAGAATCTTTAGACAGGTCTAAGAAAAGTGCAGCACAATAATCCTTAGCATCCAGTGCTTCAACAACATCATTAAGAACCTTCAGTGAAGCAGTGGTTGTGCTGTGTTGTTTCCTGAAACCAGATTGATGTGGAGGTAAGATGTTAAATGAGTCCAGGTCATTTTTGATTTGAGAGTTTATCAGTTTTTCTAGAACCTTGGCTAAAATGCAGAGTTTAGAGATTGGTCCATAGTTGTTCAGTGAGGGGGGGTCACCTCCCTTCAGCAAAGGAAGAACAAAGGCTGTTTTCAAGTGTCTGGATGGAGTTTTGTCTCATGGAGAGATTGAAGATGTGGGTCACAGGGACTGTGATGATATGAGCAGCCAGCCTTAAGAAATAAGGTGGAAGTTCATCTGGACCTGCAGATTTTTTAGGATCAAGATCTTTTAACAGTTTATTGACCTCACTGACTGAGAATGGAGAAAAAGAGAAGGTGTGATTAACTGAGGATTGACTTGTAGGAGGGATTTGATTTGTAGAAGTTTGGTTATTAAGTGAAGTGGCTGATCTTCCATTAGTAACTCTGTCAAATAAAGAACCAGAAGCAACAAAATGTTTGTTGAAACAATTCAGGATCTCGTGCTGATTTGACACAGGAACAGAGTTAACGAGAAGTTGTGATGGGAGGTCAGATGAGAGAGACTTGATGGTTTTCCAGAATCTGTTAGGTTTTTATTTAGGGTTTAGACCAGTTTTTCTGCATCATCTTTAGATCAGATGTTTCTAATGTTAGTGATATTACGCAGGTGGAAGAAGGAGGTTCTAGTAACGTTTTTAATGTGGGGGATAAAAGACATGTCCTGATCAAAAATAACACCAAGATTTTTAACATTAGAGCTGGAGGACAGATTAATGCATCTAAGGAGGGAGAAAGACTGAAACATTCATTCCTAAGGTGCTCAGGTCCAAAAACCAAAACCTCAGTCTTGTTTGTTCAACAGGAGAAAATTAAGGTTCATCCAGGTTTTTATGTCTTTAAGACATGCTTGTAGTCTAAGTAGCTGATTGGATTCATTGGGTTTAATGGACAAATATAATTGTGTGTCATCAGCATAAATGACTAACTTTGGTGAATGAAGAAGATTCATTATTTACATTTACAAACTGGAATCTATCAGATAGATATGATTTAAACCATTTTAGAGCTGTTCCTGTAATCCCAACATCATATTCAAGCCTCTGCAGTAAAATATTGTGATCAACTGTATCAAATGCAGCACTGAGGTCTAACAGGACCAGTAGAGACACAAGTCCATTGTCTGAGGCCATGAGAATATCATTAGTGACTTTTACTAGTGCTGTTTCTGTGCTATGATGAGCTCTAAACCCTGACTGAAACTCTTCAGATTATTTCTTTGTAGATGTTCACACAACTGACCTGCAACTAGTTTCTCTAGAAGTTTTGAGATGAAAGTTAGATTAGATATAGGTCTATAGTTGGCCAGGATTCCTGAGTCAAGGTTATTTTAAGAATCTGTTGGACTCCTGGCAGGGACCAATGCAGACATGTTCCTGTTTTTAGTTTTATACATTTGCCTTAGAATCTAGCTGTTTTTTGTAACTTTTTTTAGCCATCCTATTTGTTAAAAAAATAAATTGAATTACATTTTATAACCGTTTATTGTTGTCTTGTTGTCCAATGTCATTATTCTTTGTTGAAATCAGGTCTCTCTTGTAAATGAGTCCTTGAGGCTCAATGGGATTTACCTGTAGAAATAAAGTTGAATGAAAAAAAATTATGTTTCATAAGTAAAGGTTTAGTTACAGCAATATTAAAGCTCTGTGGTATGCAACGGTTTATGAGACAAATTAAGCAGATCCAAGACGTGGCTATTAATTAAGGGAAATACGTCTTTAAACAGTCTGGTTGGGGCGAGATCTAGCAGACATGTGGATGGTTTGGATGAAGCTAAAAACAACGGACACCATCTTAGCACCAACATAACTGGTTTGTTCCACTTTGGAGTAAGCTGTTAGAGGAAGAATCAGTTTTGTGTTGTGTGTTTCGTTGACTGATGAAGCCTTCTGGATGGAAGGTGAAATATTTCAGGAAAAAATTAAACTGTCCAGATGACCTGACTGAAAAATGTTGGGAGTTATCAGTTCATTGACTAACAGGGCTTTAGAGGAAAGAGATCCGAAGGTCAATAATCCACATTTAATCATTTTATTATTTTGTTCTGGTAAAGTAGTTGTGTTTATTTTAATAAGATTTTTATGGTTTTTATTTTTAGAGCTGATTTTTGGTTTATTTGTTTTGAGCCGTGGGTTATTAAGACTTTAAGAATCGTAGTGATGAGTCTACAGGAAGTGCAGGAGCGTTCACCAGGATGCTCCTGCCAGCTGGCCATCAGCTCAGAGTTTATGTTGGTGTCAAAACAACAAACAAACAAACAACC